CGAGAGGTTCATCGCGTCATATCAGCTGAAAATCTTTCGGCGGATAATACCATTCAAGAGTATTATAGTAACCTTCTCGGTTCAAATTAAAGTATCCAAATTTCTCTGGCGACCAGACCGTGATAACGAAGAAGAATAGCTATTGTAGGGGCCTTAAAATTGACCAATAGTAGAGAATCAAATGAAAAACGGAATTGGGATTATATGGGGTTCATAGGGATGATATCCTAAGAAAGGCGAAGTACTTATGCGCATCATATTGAGATCTAATGGAGGTACTCTATATTGGAATCCTGCAAAGATTCTAGGATCATGTATTGATATGTGGTTAGGTTCTTTCACTAGAACTGGCAACTTCTGATCTCTCATCATTCTTATATCAAAAACAACTGAGCAGATGGCGCCGAACCGTATTGCACTTTTTCGGCTTTGATGCAGCATCTGTAAGAACAGCAGTATGGAAATTTTCCGACACAATGGTACCCCTAATTTAGGGACCTCTATCAACCTGCAACCCTAAACCCTAAACCCTAAACCCTAAACCTATCAACCTGCAACAGGCAAATCAAATGACTTCCAATCAACTTTAGACCTCACAAATGCCCCTGAACCTTAAACTCAAGAGTAATCCTGAACCCTACCTAAACCCTAAACACCTAAACCCCAAGCCCTAAAACCCTAAATCCTAAGCCCAAGAGCAATCATACCAGCCCGAATTTTTCTGCACAAGCGCTGCTTGGAAGCTTGCTGGTGGGCATGTGAGGCTGGTTGACCAGCCACGTGCAACCCTAAGGGTCAAACGGGATAAGGGTCCAGGGCATAGGGTTCAGGGTTTAGGGTTGGGGGTCTAGGGTTTAGGGTTTAGGGTATCGGGTTTAAGGGTTTTAGGCTTGAGTTTAGGGCTCGGGAAAAAAAGGCCCTTCCCCAAAACCTGCACTGCAATTACCTGTTAACAGCGCCAAAACCCCAAGTACCCGAGTATTGGGCACATGGACCCTTGGGGTAAGAGAGCTGTCTCGAAAATGTTGCTTGGGAGTCTCAACGTTTCCCTCTTGCGCATAACTTGAAAGGCTTGATCCCTAAGCCCATACCCCGGACCCTCAACCACGTGTGCATATATATGTATATATGTATATGTATACGTAAATACTATACATATATATATGTGTGTATATATATATATACACTTTCAGATATGTAAATATACGTGTATATATATATATAGAGCTCGAGACCCTGATATCCTGTGGCAAGAGAACCTAAACTTTCGAGACATGCTCAAGGTGTGTTTCCCTGCATCCTTTGGATTTTCTCCCAAGGCCGAGGCAAGTTGCGCACAAGGAAGGTTTTGCACTGATTAAAAGAAAACTGCTGGTCTTTCATTGAGAGAATGTGCGTGAAAAAGGCTGGGTATTCCTCACAAGGTTTTCGCACAAGAACACCCTAAACCACACATGAGTTCGAAGGGCGATCCAGATTCGGGTTCAGGGTTTAGGGCTTAGGGTTAAGGGCATGAGTTTAGGGTATAGGGTTTGGGGTATAGGGTTTAGGGTAGAGGGTTAGGCTAGGGTTAGGGTTTAGGATTTAGAGCTCAGGGTTTAGGGTTCAGCAGTCAGGGACTTCGGGCATCATGAACCAGTACAGCTGGCATGAAGGACCGTGAGCAACTTGTGGAACTCATGCCTGTGCAGGCCTGCGTGAGACCAAACAGTCGACCACAATTTGAATACGAAATGGTGTTTGGGTTTGGGGTTTAGGATGTCAACTTGTGTGAAATATGATCTGCCGCAAGGGTCACAAGAATACATGGCCTGTCAGACTTCAAAAGATCCTTTGCCTGCTTCTGAAAGCATGCTCGTCATGGGAATCAGTCGCAGGAGGTATGTCAAACGCTCATTTGCTTGCTTTTGCCTAGGTCTCAGGGGCGGGCCGGGGGGGGGGTTTTCAATCTCCATTAATTACCAACAAGAACCCTGAATAACACACAACTTCCAGTTCATTTTCCTGTTCTGTTCCATTTCATTTCTTATTGGAAATATGGGCCAGTTGGGGATGCAGATTTCACGTCCAGCCATTGAGGTTCAGGCTCTACCTGCCAAGCTCATCACGTCATGTTTTTCAATACGTACTTCTGGCATGACCAGCGCTCTTGAAAAGAAGTGCAAGCCCTGAACCCCAAAACGTCGAAACCCAAAAGCTAAAGCCCCAAACCTGAAAGCAGAAAGCAGAAATCACCGGCTCCAAACTCGAAACTCCAAAGCCCAAGTTTTGCTTATTCCTAAATTCTGAGGTTGGTACTATGGGCCTCGCCCCTAGTATGGGGCCTTAATTTTGGGTTCTCACGTACGCATTATATGCTCCATAAAACCCTACAAACCTTTTCCTAAGTAGCCCAGCTGCGAGTCCGTGAGCGCCTGCAGCTCTTGCCTAACTTTCAAATTCTGCTGTTTGAGGGCGTACCTGAGCGGCTAACGGTTCAGGGCTAAGGGTTAGGTTTTCAGGCTTAGGGCTTAGGTTTCAGGATTTAGGGCCGAAACGCTAAAATGGAGTTGGGGAACCCCAAAATTAGGGGTCCTTTCTTGGAAATTCCAAAGCTGAAGGCTATAGAACTTTTGCTAAATTGGGGTCCCTCAAATTTGGGAACTACCCTTTTGTTGTTTGGCTTTGGGGTCTCAGGTTACGCGCTTCTGATCTTGAGCCGGGGGTTTGCTAGCTCAGGGTGTCGGATTTGAGGTTTTCCTAAAGGCAACCCATGTACCCAACATAAATTATGGACCTAAAATTGTGGTATGTTCACCCTTTTTAACAGCCTAGGCTTCTCCAGTTAGAGCTTTGCACGCAAGACTTAGTGTCCCTCCTTTATGCGCAGCTGGCATACTGCAGGCATAACCCTAAACGCTTAACCGCAAGTCTTTTGAGGCCGAGCAGTTGGGCTTAAGGCTCACGATGGCACGTAGCACCCCTACTAAAAGCTGAGTTTTAGGTACCTGTACTAAGAATATAGGGGAGCCAAAAAGTTCTGTTAGGGTCTGAGGTCCTAGCTCACCAAGGTGGGCTTGAGTTCTTAGGGTTTAGGGTTTAGGGTTTAGGGTGGTTCATAGAAGAATTGTGATGACTGCAATCGTTTCCTGGGATATTGAGCAGGTCAACATTCCTTATCTGGCTGAGAGACAGGGACGTGGGTTCGTAGCTTTTGTCTGCCCTATCGCTTTTCAGCATCTTCCCATTTTCTAGCATCTCTGAAACAGCGTGGTTCGCTGTGTCATGGTCATCATTGTATGTTGCCTCCCATATCGTTCTAATGCGTTGTTCAGGGTCAGCTGCTGAAGTCGTGTCCGGCCAAAACATGATCAAGTGGTTGGTAAATTTGACTGTCGCTTACATGGGAAAAGGCTGCCGGCTTGGGGTTTGGCGGCACATGTCTTTTCGGGGCTTGCAGCTAAGCCTCTCAAAAGCTCTGGATACATACAAGTAGGGCTTAGCTGCGGTAATCACCTTCTCCTTCGGAAAGTCAAGCTCAAGATACAAGATGCATGTCCACTGCTGGCAGAAGACTCAAATGACGGCGCCCCAGCGGACTCACACAAAATATGAATCAACGGTGGAGATGGGTGTTCATTGACCTACTAAAGCGCCTGCATGACCTGAGTATACCATGCTACCATAACTCCCAAAGCAGCAGGTACTTAGCGCCATGCACGATTCTTAGCATCACAGCCGAAGCACAAGTCCACAGAGCGTGCAGGACCGTGTAGCTGCATGCATCGCTCGGTGAACTCGTCCAAACTGACCTGGATGCACGGTCTAATATATTCGATATAACCCATATATAACCCTAAACATAGTAGTTTCCGTTTTATTTTCCATTATCCCAATATGTACCTTATATAGCCCAATATAGTAGTTTCCATTTAGGGTCTGGCGGCTTAACTTCTGTTGATATTGAACCATACGTTCCAGTGTTCAATAAGATCCGAAACCCTAAACCAAACAAAAGGAACATCCAAACCCTAAACCCTAAACCGAAGGAACATCCAAACCAAAACCCTAGACCCTAAGCAGAAGAAACATCTTTCCAAAGGTTGACTCCGCCACAATGTAATCACCGTCTACATCGAGGCTAGCCTGGGTTGCATCGGCGTCAGTGAAAGGTTTGGGGTTTGAGGGTTTGGGGTTTTTTGGGCTTAAGGTCTTAGGGTTTGAGGTTTTAGGGTTTGAGGTTTTGGGGTTTTGGGGTTTTGGGTTTTGGGTTTGAGGTTTGCGGGTTTCAGTTTTGGGTTTTGGGGTTTTAGGGCTTTGGTGTTCTAGGGCTTAAGGTTTTAGGGTTCGAGGGTTTAGGGTAGGGGTTTAAGTTTAGGGTTTAGTGCCTTGGGGTTTAAGGTTTGGGGTTTGACATTTCCTGGATGATTTTTGGTTTAAGGTCTAGGGATACTTTAAAGGCTCCCAGAAAAATTGTGTGGATAGGTTTCCTTATGCAATGATAGGGGAAACCATTAGTTGTCTCAAGGTACCACCTAGCTTCTTTCTGCCAAGGCTACGTTTGTGGAGGGTTTGCCAAGCTGGTTGAAAGGTTAAGAGCGCCTGTCTGTTGCTTAGTTGTGAAACATCTTCGTATACCAAGTATGGCCTTGAGACTATACCATAGCCCGTATGACGTTCGGTCCGTGCAATGTCCACCAGTCCACTTCACGACTCCACTAGACTGGATTTTGAGGATACATTCTATTACAGCTTCACCACTGTACTTATCTAGGATTCTACACAGCCTTAGCGCCCCAAGTTATTCAGGGTTGTTCTGACTCGTGGACGTGTGATCCAAAGCCAGAGCGTCCTGCCTGACGGTTCTCATCGTGCTTAGTTGGCCCGATGACCCAGAAGCACTTTGCCAGACTAGCATGCAGGAAATGTTGAAAACCTGCACAATGTCCAAGCCTCAAACCTTCAAAAACAAAGCCCTACCCCTAGGCTAGCTAGACATGCTTCATCGGGCGCCAGGTAGCAAATAGGGTCCAAGCATCGACAGCATTAATCTCAATAGTCTCAAAAAAAGCCCGCATGTCCTCGGGAGCTGTCTGTCCACTTCCCACTGCAGTCAACGCGACATGCTTCTCTGAACCATTTTGCTCTTTCAGAACGCTCAAGCTCGAGCCGCATCCCCCCTGAAATCCGATAAAGAGCCCCGGAAAAGCTTAGCGTCTGCTTCAACGGATAATATACCAGGCATTCCATCCCTGTGATCCTCAAACCCAAAACCCCGCTCCTCATCTTCGAACAGCTTCTCAAACTCAGAGATAGTGATCTTCCCTGTGCCGGTGGCATCCATTTTGCTGAATAAATCCGACAGGAGATCTTTGAACCTGCCGCATGTGCCATGGAACATGCTGACCTGTATGGTCTGCTGCTTTCGCTGCCATGACCGTAGATTGCTTGCCCGTCTTGTGAAAAGAACACTGAGCCAACGCAACATGCAAAGCAGCGCTGGGGTGTACCCAGATCTGGAGGTGCCAGACGCAAACAAACGCCACAAGCAGACCGCAGAGGAAAACTTGAACCCAGAAACCCTGAACACAATTTTGGGCTTAGAGTTGAGGCTTGAAGGACTCATCTGAAATGCTCAACTCCAAATCCCCAGCCCTTCCTCTTGCGATTTTGCATGATCGTCTGATGATCGTGCTCTGCAGCTTTTATCGCGCTGTGGCAGAAAACCTGAATCAGAAAGTGTATTCAAGGCCTCGTGCTCAGGATTTCGGCTTTATACTGTATGCCTTCCAGTGTATATTTAATTAAGGGTGTCTATGCGCAACCCTCATACTTCCTATATGCATGAGCACAACTAGAACCGGGCTGCAAGCTCGAAGCAATGCTGGGTGAAAAAACCAAGGCATTTCATGGGTTTTTTTATATAATAAGCAGCTCATACGACTTACTGGTGGTTAGTAGGGAATAAGGGAATATAATCCTTATGTAATCCCTATATAATCCCTGTATAATTCATACATTTTCCGATATAATCTATAATCCCTATTTACCCCAATTCTCCGCTAAGCACCCCAGTAAGTTGAACCTAAGCCCTAAACCCTAAACCCTGAATCCTAAACCCTAAACCCTAAACCCTAAACCCTGAACCCCAATCCCTAAACCCTGAACCCTGAATCCTGAACGCTAAACCCTAAACCGCTGAAGTAATGTCTTGGAAAGCTCTGGGAGTGCTGGTTCCAGTGTTTGCTGCGGTTGCGGGTTTGCTGCAGATGAGGTTTCAGGATTTAGGGTTTAGGGAATAGGGTTTCAGGGTTTAGGGTTTAGGTTTCAGTCTGTAGGTTTCAGGGTTCAGGTTTCAGGGTTGAGGGTTTAGGAAACCCTGAATCCTAAACCATCCGAGGCCATCCAAACCTGTTCCATGCTACGTTGGGGGGAGGGCTGTGCGTCTTTGTCTGTGCGTGAGGAGTGCTCCAAGAATTTGTCACCAAGGCTGCTGCTTCGCTAATCTACTTACTGGTGGTTAGTAGGGAATAAGGGAATATATTCCCTGTATAACCCCTATCTAATATATTCCCATATTCCCTGCTAACCCGCGGTAAGTCTAGGGCTTGGGGGTTTAGGTTTCGGGACTTGAGCGTGCAACCATGATAGTACTCTTGTCGTTCAAATGACGGAGAATAAGTCGAATGGATGGAGAATCAACTGGACAAAAACAGAGCGTGAAATCCAAACTGGGTCTACATGGGTTTGTATTTATTGGGGTTGAGGTTTAATGTTTCCTGGGTCCACACCATGCATCCTTAGTGTAATGTTGAGGGGTATGGGTTTCCTTATACTTGACTGCAAAAAAGGAACATTGTTCTTCTCAGGAGCAGCTTTACAGTTTGCTGGTGCAGGATGTTTTGCATGATGGTTGCAGGGATTTGATTCACCTAGGATTTTTTCCAGAAAGAGGGTCCCCTGATAGACTCCCTAATTCGCGGGATCTTTTTCGTATGGAGGCAGAACCATCAAGTTTAGGCAAGAACTGTTGATGGTGAATTTCCTTAAACTTTGCCCGACCCTGACTACCGGAAATCCTTCGAGGAAAATGCAGTAGCAACCACGATGACCCAGCAGGTAGACGAGGAGTTTGTTGCAGAGCTCTTCGGAAGGCTCATGGAGAACCGAACCTTCTTTGACATGAGTTTCTTTGGAACCCTTTGACGTGTCAGCATCGATCCTAGACTCTAAATTCTAAACCCTAGACAGACCCTAAACCCTTGACACTAAACCGCCAGAGATCTCATACCCAAGTGAGCTTGCCACCTGACTTGGCAAAGCAAGGGCGCGAGAACATCGCGAACCCAGGGCGCCTAAAGGGGCAAGTTTAAAGTTTAACTCCTCGTTACTCTGACGGCCAAGCGCCCAAGGAGCTTGTCTGCTCATGTGGTAGTTTCCCAAAACTCGGGTATCCCAATATAGACCCCAAAATATTATAGTCCTTATTATGGGGACTACCATAAAGGTTCCCCTAATTTTGGGAAACTCCCATGATTTTCCAAAGGAAACCGAGCCACCAGCTCTGAAGGCGCAGCTGCGGAAACTAACCCTCCCCTCACCCTAACTGAGCTATTTTGAGGGTTTGGGCTATAGTCTAAACTCTTCAGAAGGGGGCTAGATAGGGTCATATGGGATTCCTATAATGGGGGTTATAGGGGGTTCCTAGGAGTTTAGACAATAGCTCAACTAGGTAGGCAAAAGCCAGATATAACCAGGTACTATCCTATGCTCTCTTGTAAGACTGTTAAAGATGCACTGGTGTCTTGTCATTGTAATTTTTGTGGGGCATTTACGAATTACTAGGGAGAGGGGAGCAGACCAGGCAAGCAGCGGGCAAAAAAAAAGGTTGCCACACAAAGAGGATACAGGTTGGCATTAGGGTTTAGGGTATGGGTTTCAGATGGTTTCAGGTTTGGGCTTAAGGTTTGGCTTCTAAGGTTCGGGGTCTAGCGGTTGGGCTTTATATGGGTGTAACAGGCTAGCATAGGATGCCTCCAGCAACCCGCAGCATACTCAGATGCGGCCTCCTATTTGCAGCAGTTTTTCGAGAAGGTGATAGTCCTGAAGTTACGGTCCTGCACCCCTACTTGCCATTTCTGCAAGCCTTCCTCAGACCATTCTTTCATAGAGAGAATAGTTCATTACAGTATTCGGCTCCTATATTCGGATGAGTGCAGGCAGCATGTTCTTGCCTACCTCGCTTAGATCCGTCGACTGTAGGGTTTAGGGTGCGCCCCATTATTGCTTGGACCCTTTGGGATGTTTCATGGGGAATCTGAAGAACAAATGGAACCTTGACAGAGGGATTTTGCAAGGAGGGTTAAAGGTTGAGGGTTGGAGGTCAAGGGGACGGAGTAAGCAGGCAAATAATGGGGTAGCTGGGGTCATCGTATGGCTTGTAGGGCAGCACTTTTGGTAGTCTTAAAATTGAGCTCAGGGCATGAGGTCGCCCAAAACCCCCAAAGCCCTAGACCTTAGGAGGACTCCCCACCCTGTAATAGTGACAAAGATGGAATTTTGCGAGTTATATTCGGGTCCTCGTACGTTCCTATTCCACCACTATTACTATTACAGGGTGGGGGGTCCTCGAAACCTAGACTAGACCCTAAACCCACTTCGGGGAAAACCTCTGAACTAGGTTGAGAGGGGCCAGGAAGAGGCACCCTCAAATGGTACTGACCAGGGTTCATGATCTTCTTATGATCGAGGGTCTACAGGGTCTAAGCCGTAAACCTTAAGCTCTGAAAACTGTGGGTTGAGGATTTCGGCACGGCCGTTGGGTGTTGAACGTGTTGTTATTACGCTCAAAGTCGGGGTTCCGGGGTCCCCCAATTACAGACAACTACATCTGGGACAGGGGATAATCCTAAACCATGTTCTTCCAAGATTGAAGCTCAACGGTGAACGCGCAAGGTTGAGGACGCAGGGTTGCGGGTTGAATGCTTGTGGGTATCCCTCTTAAGAACCCCTAAACCCTAAACCCTAATAGTAGTCCCCTATATAATCCCTTAACGGAGTCATGTCTACCTAGATGCTGGCATGCTAGCAAGAGAAGAGTTGGCAGTTTCTGAAATCACGGTCCCCTCCTACATCCCTAAACCCCAAACGTCAGAACTTAAATCCAGACCCCATACCCCAGAACCTATAGTCCCCCTTAAGTAGATAGAATGTTGGGTAAAAGGGGATTTCATTACAACATACCCAGAACCATATTCTATCTACTTAAGGGGGACTACAAACCTAAACCTTAAACCCTAAACCCCCAAACCCAGGTGACAGCCTGAATTCATTTCAGCACGTGTGCCTTGAGTGCATGGGGGCACTGCAGCACGCACTATTGTTGTTGTTGCTCAAAAAGGATGATGAGCTAAAGTCTAAACTCCTTAAAGGGGGTTATATAGCGGAAGTATTAGAGGGGTTACTAAGAGGGACAGTAGAAGTTTAGACTATAGCTCAAATGGCTCTGTGGTTTAGGGTCTCAGGGCCTTGAGCTCTGAGGGTATAGGCATGGTTCGGCATGCATACAGGGGGGGATACGCGTTCAGGGTTTAGGGTTTACTGAACTTTTTGCCCCCTCTGCCTGGAGGGATGCATAATGCGGCTGCTGTTGTGGCGGGTATGTCACCTCTTACATTGAACCTTATACCTCTCCAGACAGGCATTCTAGGGAACAGCTTTTGGTGACGTTTCGGGCTGATGCTTGTGTATCCATTCTGTGGAGTAAGTGGAATGGCAGCCACTGACTCTGAAGGATTCTAGGGAAGATTGAGGGTGCTATGACGATTGGGTAAAGGGTCATAGTGGGCCCTCTGCAGTATTATAGGCGGTTCGGGTAAGCCAACACCCAAAACAAGGACTCTAAGACGATGAGATGTCTCTTGTTGCATCCTTGTTATTTGCAGGGGTTGGGGTTACCAAAGCCCTCTCATCCAACTAGGCCGACCGTGCCGGCTTCAGCAAAGTTGTGTTGAAAGCTCGAGCGATTAGAACACATTGTTTTACTCTGGTTTCCAGTCAGATGTGAGTGGTAAACTTGAAGCAGTCTGGCTGTAAAACCCTAGAGCCCCACCTTACACCCTAAGCTCTAAACCCTAACCCTAAACCCTATCAGTACATCCAACAAGCCCCATCTCCCAAGGGATTTCTAACAAGTGGTGTCCACCCATGTATCGCCGAATCCAGTCCCTGCTATGAGTTTTGCCGATTTTGGAAATCCGAAACCCTACAGTTTAGGGTTTGGGGGTTTAAGGTTTAGGGTTCAGGGGGCATCATTATTGAGAGTGCCAGGGTTGCAACCGCGCTCTTAGGGTGTAAGGTTTTGGGTTTAGGGTTGAGGGTTATTCCTGAAATCAAACATGCCTGGTGCAAGAACGGCGGAAACACCGCCCAGATTTACAAATGACGCAGGGCCGTTGGAAACTCTAAATGGAACGATACGAGGGTTTTGGTAATCCCAGCTTCTATAGTCAGCACCTCTAAGAGCCATATGAAATATAATCTAAACTCCTTAAAGGGGGGTCGTATGGGAGATTATATAGGGCACTACTATAGGGCTTATTAAGGGGGATACTGGAGTTTAGACTATGGCTCATATGACAAATCGCAATGTTACACTTAGGATTTAAACCCTAAAC